TTATATTTTATGCATATATTTTAAAATATTTTTTTATTTTATTTACAACATTATTAATATTTTTTTTTTTTTTTTTTTTCATTTGCATATATATTTGTACATAAAAATTATATAAACATATAATATTTTTATTAAAAATTTTGACAAAGTTAAAATCATAAAAATTATGAAATTGTAAAAGTAGTATTGTTAAAACATGGAAGATAAGGAAATAAATAATGAAAATAATAAAAGTAAGATAAAAAAAGTTAAACATTAACTTAGTATTTTTATAAAGATATCTCCTAGAAATAAGCATAAATTCATATTTGCGAGAATACATACCCTTACATATATATTTTTTTTTCTTTTTTTTCATTTTTAAGTAGAAAATAACAAAGAAGAAGAAAACATAAAAAAAGAAGATGAACAAACAAAAAAAAGTACAGAAGGCACTGAAGAAAATGATATTCAAATAGCAAATAATGTTTCATTAGGAAAACATTTATTAATAGGAAACTCTTTAAAAAAAGGTAATAAAAAAAAAAAAAAAAAAAAAAAAAAATATTAACATATACATATAAAAATTTATTTTTATATTTCTACATTTATTAAACAGGTAGAATATTGTTCATATAAATATTATTTTTATGTTATAATTGGTATATGTTTCATTATTTCTTTTGTATTTTTTTTTTTTTTTTTCTGAAAATTCAGGTATAAGTGTAAGTGTTAGAGGAAGAACTGTTAATATAGGATTGAATTCAAAACAAGCCGGATCTGCATGGAAAAAAAAAGATGAAAAAAATAATGATGATCAGTCAGAAGAAAAAGAAAAAAAAATAGACGATGAATCATTTCCTGATTTATTGGAATCTACTGAAAAAATAAAATCAGAATTAGCTAAAGATAAAGATAAGAAAAAAAAACAAATAAAAGATATAAAAAAAAATGAAGAGAATTCTGTAAATACTGGGATAGAAAAAATAAAAGGAAATGGATCAAATGAAAAAAAGAAATTTCATATGAATATGTATGATGTATCAAAAAAAAATGAAAACAATACAAAAAAGTGGTATGATCAATCAAATGATTTTAATCATATAAATAATAATTCTGCTAATGAGAAAAATCAAAATAAATCAGAAAATGAAGCAAATGGATATATACTCCCAGGTTTTAAAGGAAAACATATGATTGGTTTTAAATGTTTCTTAAAAAGAGGAACTCAAAACCCAGCACCAATGCCTCCAGCTATGTTACATGAAGAATGTTTTTTTTATGAAAATGTTGAAAATAAAAACGGTATACAAAAGAAATATATGAATTCAAATATAAAAATGAATCAACAAATGAACTCTATGAATAATATGAATATGCAAATGAATCCCATGAATACTCAAAGGAACAATATGAACAACATGAATAACATGAACAACATGAATAATATGAACAACATGAATAATATGAATAACATGAATAATATGAATAATATGAATAACATGAATAATATGAATATGAATGCTGTAATGAATAATCAAGAAAATATTTATGAAAGAAATGATCAAATTAATAATAGATTTACACAAAATTCTCAACACAACCCTATGAATAATCAAAATAAATTTAACGATAACAATAATATTTATAAGCCAAACAATTACAATCGAAATTTAAAAAACTTTATGCATAATAATAACACGGAAGATGTTACAAACATAAAACAAATGAACAACAATGTAGGAATGCAAGGGAATATGAACTATATTAAAAGGAATGATAAAAAGGAAGATAGAAATTTAAAAAAAAAAGATGTTGACTCAGAAATCAATTGGAGAAATACTAGTAGTAATAAAAACATAGCAGATGATAAAATGAATACTGTAAATAATAGCAATATGAACGTTTCTCAAAATGCAAATACAAATAATAATATAACTACGAATTTAAGAAACTACAATATGAATATGAATAGTAATAATGCAAATAATAATTTCAATAATATGGGTAATATGAAGAATAACAATTATGTAAATAACAAAATGTTAAACATGAATTTTCAACCATCACCACCTCACATAACTCAAAATAATAAAAATATGTATAATAAAAATGATGAACAAAAAAATAATAACATGTATAAAATCAATGTGATGAATAACAATAATAATAACAATAATAGCATGAATAAAAATGAAGAAAAAAACAATAAAATGTATAAAAACAATTTAATGAATTCTAACTCAAATGGGATAGCATCTGATATGTATAAAGCTCAAAACAATTATAACAATAATAATAATAATAATCAGAAATATGAATATAAGCATACATATAATAATAATTTTAACATGAATAATAAAAATATGAATTCAGTTGATATAAGGAGAACACGTATGAGAGAAATAAGAAATGTAAATGAACAAAATAAAGTTAATGAAGGATAATAATTGTGTAGAAGTATATATATATATATCTTTATATATGTTTTCTTTTTATTATCGTTACATAATTATGTCTACTTTTATATATATATATATATAATATTTTCTTTATATTTATCCATATATATAATTTTCTTACATGGTTTTCAATGTAGATCATTTTATTTATTTATCATCTATATATTATATATATTTCTTATTTATTTTATCAAGGTTATATTTTATTTTATTTTATTTTATTTTATTTTTTTTTTTTTTTGGTTTTTTATGGGAAATTAAGAACATCGTATAAGCAATATTTACAGTTGTATTCAAATTTTTTTATACATGCGTTTGCATATATTCTTTTATTTTTTACACATATATATAAATATACTATTTATATCTATATTTTTATATATGAAAAGAAATTTATTTTATTTGAAGAATTATGGAGAAGGTTATAGATATAAAACAACATTATGCATATTAAAAATATATATATATATAGATCCAATAAAATTAATTTTTGATTATTTTATTATATATATTTTATTTTATAAATATTATATATTTTAATAACTTTTTTTTTTTTTTATTTTTATCTAAATATAAATATATTTAGAGATAAAAATTATATAAATTTTAATTTTCAGTTTTATTTTAATTTCTTTTCTTCTACTTCCTATATATATGTAAACGCAAAATTAAATTTTTTAAATATATATATATATATATATATATGCATTTTATATCTTTAAAACAAGTTGTAATTTTATATAAATGTAAATTTCAATTTTGTATATTTATTTTATTTCATGTTTTTTTATTAAAATAATTTTTCATTTAAGTTAAATTAACAAACAAATAAAAAAAAAATATATGTATAAAAGAAAAACAAAATGAAAAAAGTAAAATATTTTAAATGTGAGTATTTCACGTTTTAAAAAACATTAGGACATACTAAAATGAACAAAGAATTAAGCTATATTGTCAAAAATATTCAAAAAGGAAACAATTTAATTTTTTTTATATAAAGATCATACAACCAATTAGACAATAAACAGAAAACTTCTTCCTTTATTTTTTTTTTTTATTTTATTCATATGAATATTTATTTTTAAATTTTTTTTAATCTTTACTGTTATTTTGACTTTTTTTTTTTTTTTTTTTTTTAATCCTATATTATTTTTTTTAAATAAATATGATGAGTTAAAAATATATCTAACATAATAAGAATTTTATATTATTGTTTATCCAGAATTCGTTTTTTTTAATTATCTTATCAAACTACTTTTTAAAAATTATATAGGATATGTTTATAAAAGAAAACCATATTTATAAATTTATCTTTATTATTTTATATTATGACATTAAAAATTCCTAGTATCATAAAAAAAAAAAAATAAAGGTAATTTTTTTAAGTTAATAGAAAAAGAAGAAAAGAAAAACTTTTCTTTAATTAAATATTCTAGATAATATTTAAAATTCAAAAAAAAAAAAAAAAAAAAAATGCCCTTGTTTACTTGCGGAAAAAATAAGCGAAACATAAGCAAAAAACCATTCTCTAAATTTATATTATTATTCTAGTTTATATATGATAAAAAAAAAAAATTTGCAAATTATATATCACCACACCATCTGTTTTCTTCCCTTATCTAAAAAAAAAAAAAAAAAAAAAGTTAAATAAATAAAATGAAAAATAATACAATAAATTATTATGTTTTATCTTATTTTATATTAACTTGTTTTTCTTCTTCTCTTGTAAAATCATTAACTATATCAAATTCTGCTCTGATCTCTTCAGTTGTTTTATCTTTCATCATAGAAGCAATTTTACCACAAGTTAAATCTAAAAGTGGCTTTATATCTAAATAATTAGATGCCTATATTAAAAAAAATATAATGTTAATAGAAAATTTCTTTATCATTAATTATTATTTTATTAAATTCATTTAATGATTTTTTTTTTTTTTTTTTATGTTATTTAAATATGTAAATATTATTGTAATTTAATAAAATTTTAACTTCAATAAGTTCGTATAAAGTTTCCTTGTCAGTATTAACAAAATCGTAATCCCAACTAGATACAACCTATTTTTTTTTTTTTAACATATAAAAAAGAATATTATTTAAAAGTTATAATTACAAATTTATATTAAATTTTTAGTAATAATATTTTTATATTTATTACATCTTGTAAGTTTGATGTACTTAATGGCTTTGGTATTTCGTCTGCTGGATTTTGTATATGATATTCCATGTATTCAATAATTTTTTTTAAAATCTGAGTTTTTATATTAGGAAGAGGAATTGTATCTTCTTCTTCAGTCATAACTAAGAAGTTTTATTAATTTTTTAATAATATATATATATAAATTTGTGTGTAATTTTTCCTTTTTTTTTTATAAATTTACCTTCTAATATATTCATTATTACAGTGGACATCGAAGCAGTATATTTATCTACAATAAATTCATCCCCTTCAAAACTTACTAACTTTATTTTATCATTTTTCATCTTACTAAAAATTATATAAATTAAATAATTCTATAAAAGATTAAGTTGTTTTATCTAGATCTATTAACTTTACAAAAAAAAGAAATATATGCAATACTCATAAATTCTTTTTTTTTTTTTTTTTTTTTTTTTTTTTTTTTT